GCGTGGATAGATGGAAACCCCTTTTCTCCTACCCCTCCTCCCCCCATCACCAAAGCAGTGGTTGAGAGGGTAATCCTTTCTCCTACCCCTCCTACCCCCCCCCACTACCTGAAGCGGGATGAGATTGGTAAACTCCTCTTCCCTCCCCTCCTACCCCCCTCCCCCCCCATACCTGAAGCGTGGTGAGATGGTAACCCCTCTCTCCTACCCTCCTACCCCCCCCAACCTGAAGAGTGGATGAGGTGGTAACTTCTCTCCACCCCCTCCACCCCTTCACCTGAACAGTTAAGAGTGGTAACTCCTCTCTCCTACCCCCCCCCCTCCCCCCCACTCACCTAAAAGCAGTGGATGAGATGGTAACTCCTCTCCCCCTACCCTTTCACCCCCCCTCACCTAAAACAGTGGATGAGATGGTAACTCCTCTCTCCTACCCCCCCCCCTACCCCCACTCACCTGAAGCATGGTAAATTTTTTGGAAAACTCCTCTCTCCTCCCCCTTACCCCCATCCCCTGAAGCAGTGGATAGAGTGGAACTCCTCTCTCCTACCCCTCCTACCCCCCCCCCCCAAACCTGAACAGTGGTGAGGGGGTAACTCCTCTCTCCTACCCCTCCTCCCCCCCTCACCTGAAAGGTGGATGGAAAGTGGTAACTCCTCTTCCTACCCCCCTACCCCCCCCCACACCTGAAACGTGGTGAGAGTTAATCCTCTCTCCTCCCCTCCTACCCCCTCCCCCCCCCCCACCCCACCTAAAGCAGTGGATAGAGTGGTAACCCTTCTCCTACCCCTCCTACCCCCACCCCCGAAGCAGTGGAGAGAGTGGTAAACCCTTTTCCCCTCCCCTCCTCCCCCCCACTCCCCTAAAGCAGTGATGGGTGGTAATCCCTCTCCTCCCCCCTCCTACCCCCCACTAAACTGAAGGAGGGATGAGAGGGGAACTCCTCTCCCCACCCCCCCTCCCCCCCCATCACCTGAAGCAGGGGTTAGATGGAAAAACCTCCTCTTCCTACCCCTCCTACCCCCCACCACCTGAAGATTGGGAGGGAAGGGAATCCCTCCCCTACCCCCCCTCCCCCTCCTACCCCCCAACCTAAGAGTGGATGAGGGGGTAACTCCTCTCTCCTACCCCCCCTACCCCCCCCCCACCCTAAGCAGTGGATAGAAGTGGTAAACTCCTCTCTCCTACCCCCCCTCCCCCACCCCAAAAGCAGTGGATGAGAGTGGTAATCCTCTCCCAAACCCTCCTACCCCCCCCCCCCACCACTGAAACAGTGGATGAGAGGGGTAACTCCCTCTCCACCCCCCTCCCCCCCACTCCCCTGAAGCAGTGGATAGAGTGGTAATCCTCTTCCCCCCATTTCCCCCCCCTCCTACCCCCCACTCACTAAGGCAGTGGTGAGAGTGGAAAAATTCCTCTTTTCCTACCCCTCTCCCCCCCAACCCCCCTGAAGCAGGGGATGAGGGGGAAAACTCCTCTCTCCTCCCCCTCCTACCCCCCACCCCCCCACCTGAAGCAGGGGAGAGAGTGTAACTCCCCCTTCCTACCCCTCCTCCCCCCCCCATTTCACCTGAAGCAGTGGATGGAGTGGTAACTCCTCTCCCCCCCTCTACCCCTCCTCCCCCCCCACTCCCCTAAAGCAGTGGAGGGAAAATGGTAATCCTCTCTCCTACCCCTCCTACCCCCACTCCCTAAAGCAGGGGAGGGTGGGTAATCCTCTCTCTACCCTCCACCCCTCCCTCCCCCCCAATCCCCTAAGCAGGGGATGAAAAGGGTAACTCCCTTTTCCACCCCTCCTACCCCCACTCCCTGAAGCAGTGGATGAGAGGGTAACTCCCTTCCTACCCCCCCCTACCCCCCCCCCCCCACTCCCGAAAGGGGAAAAGAGAGTGGAAACTCCTCTTTCCTCCCCCTCCTCCCCCCTCTACCCACCACTCACTGAAGCAGTGGATGAGAGTGTTAACTCTCTCTCCTACCCTCCTACCCCTCCTACCCCCACTCACCTGAAGCAGTGGATGAGAGTGGTAACTCCTCTCTCTCTACCCCTCCTACCCCTCCTACCCCCCACACACCTGAAGCAGTGGATGAGAGTGGTAACTCCTCTCCCCTACCCCTCCTACCCCTCCTACCCCCACTCACCTGAAGCAGTGGATGAGAGTGGTAACTCCTCTCCCCTACCCCTCCTACCCCTCCTACCCCCCACTCACCTGAAGCAGTGGATGAGAGTGTTAACTCCTCTCTCCTACCCCTCCTACCCCCCACTCACCTGAAGCAGTGGATGAGAGTGGTAACTCCTCTCTCCTACCCCTCCTACCCCCCACTCACCTGAAGCAGTGGATGAGAGTGGTAACTCCTCTCCCCTACCCCTCCTACCCCTCCTACCCCCCACTCACCTGAAGCAGTGGATGAGAGTGGTAACTCCTCTCTCCTACCCCTCCTACCCCTCCTACCCCCCACTCACCTGAAGCAGTGGATGAGAGTGGTAACTCCTCTCTCCTACCCCTCCTACCCCTCCTACCCCCCACTCACCTGAAGCAGTGGATGAGAGTGGTAACTCCTCTCTCCTACCCCTCTACCCCTCCTACCCCCCCACTCACCTGAAGCAGTGGATGAGAGTGGTAACTCCTCTCTCCTACCCCTCCTACCCCCCACTCACCTGAAGCAGTGGATGAGAGTGGTAACTCCTCTCTCCTACCCCTCCTACCCCCCACTCACCTGAAGCAGTGGATGAGAGTGGTAACTCCTCTCTCCTACCCCTCCTACCCCTCCTACCCCCCACTCACCTGAAGCAGTGGATGAGAGTGGTAACTCCTCTCTCCTACCCCTCCTACCCCCCACTCACCTGAAGCAGTGGATGAGAGTGGTAACTCCTCTCTCCTACCCCTCCTACCCCCCCCACTCACCTGAAGCAGTGGATGAGAGTGGTACTCCTCTCTCCTACCCCTCCTCACCCCCCCACTCACCTGAAGCAGTGGATGAGAGTGGTAACTCCTCTCTCCTACCCCTCCTACCCCCCCCACTCACCTGAAGCAGTGGATGAGAGTGGTAACTCCTCTCTCCTACCCCTCCTACCCCCACTCACCTGAAGCAGTGGATGAGAGTGGTAACTCCTCTCTCTACCCTCCTACCCCCCACTCACCTGAAGCAGTGGATGAGAGTGGTAACTCCTCTCTCCTACCCCTCCTACCCACCACTCACCTGAAGCAGTGGATGAGAGTGGTAACTCCTCTCTCCTACCCCTCCTACCCCTCCTACCCCCCACTCACCTGAAGCAGTGGATGAGAGTGGTAACTCCTCTCTCCTACCCCTCCTACCCCCCACTCACCTGAAGCAGTGGATGAGAGTGGTAACTCCTCTCTCCTACCCCTCCTACCCCTCCTACCCCCACTCACCTGAAGCAGTGGATGAGAGTGGTAACTCCTCTCTCCTACCCCTCTACCCCCACTCACCTGAAGCAGTGGATGAGAGTGGTAACTCCTCTCTCCTACCCCTCCTACCCCCACTCACCTGAAGCAGTGGATGAGAGTGGTAACTCCTCTCTCCTACCCCTCCTACCCTCCTACCCCCCACTCACCTGAAAGCAGTGGATGAGAGTGGTAACTCCTCTCTCCTACCCCCTACCCCCCACTCACCTGAAGCAGTGGATGAGAGTGGTAACTCCTCTCTCCTACCCCTCCTACCCCCCACTCACCTGAAGCAGTGGATGAGAGTGGTAACTCCTCTCTCCTACCCCTCCTACCCCCCACTCACCTGAAGCAGTGGATGAGAGTGGTAACTCCTCTCTCCTACCCCTCCTACCCCCCCCCACTCACCTGAAGCAAGGGGAATACATTAACTCGACCATTTATCAGTGTGTTGAACAGTGATTTTAATATTTATTTAAGGGATGATGTTTTTAATGTTACATAAGAATATTACACAAATTCTAGTTAGAATCACGAATTCTTATTAAGATATTTGTTTATCCAGCTTTTAAATCTGTCCAATGAAGTAAAATCACTAACAGTAATAACTTAATCTAGAAGGTTAATATCGGTTATTCTGTACTAGTGAACTGACATCTTAAACCACTTGTTATGTAGGTGATGGACCATAACCAAAAGTGAAAGTTAAAACTCGTCTATCGTGCCAACCTGCCATACAGTAGTCATCTGTCGTTTATTATTTATTTACTACAAGTACATGTACAAGGTATACAGTCCTAGCTGACAACAATGACATACTACTATATAGAAAGTCCCTTGTTATGCTCCGCATTTCGGGCAAATTAGGTCAGTGTCCCAGGATGCGACCCACACCAGTCCACTAACACCCAGGTACCCATTTTACTGATGGGGAACATAGACAACAGGTGGAAAGAAACACGTCCAATGTTTCTACTCTGGCTGGGAATCGAACCCAGGCCCTCGCCGTGGGAAGGAAGAGCGTTAACCAACACCTGACTAGATAGGACTGATGTATGATAGTAACACCTCCCTTTCACTTCTCTTACAATATATTCGGTCACCGCTTCAAATTATTTATTTTTGTTTGGTTTTATAATACCTCACATATCCAAATGGTAATTAATTCATATCTGCATTCATAAACCTACTTTTATATAGATACACAAAAAGTACCAGCAACTAATTTTGTCCGAGTTGCCTGATATTATTTTCGCCTAGGAGAGTATGTCTGGGAACTTTTTTCCACAAATCTGAACTAACATGGTGATTACGTTATACTCTTATATAGAGAGTAAATTTAATTTCCAGTGTATCTTCAGTGACATGGCACATCTCGTGTGTGTAATATTGTAAGGATGATGAAAAACTATTCATTATTTTCAGATTTTATTGTGTATTACAATGTCTTCATCGTCTCGTGTATTCGTTATTTAAGAAAGTACCTGTTTGTAAAATAATCGATGAGTAATTAACTTCTGAAAATAAATGCAATAATTATTTATTTGGTACAACCAACAGCTTGTTCAGTACGTAATTTACTGTTTTATTACCAGCAATGATGAGAGTACATAGCGACTTGTTCATGTACCAGAGTGGCGTGTACTCCAACACTGGACTGATGGGGCAAGAGGCGGCGACACACTCTGTCAGAATCATTGGCTGGGGAGAAGACAATTCTTTTGGATTTACTCCCATTAAATACTGGGTAAGAGTAAACTGGACTTTTTGCAGTGTTATTATAACACTGCATAACGCAATCCTGACTAAACACTGACACATTTGTAAAATATATATAGATTGTCAAAATAGGATATTATGTAATTCAATGTATTTTACATATATCTAAATGGAATGTTATTTAAATCATTTATGCCTGGTCACCTCGACTGTTTTTTCAACAGTTGGTGGCTAACTCGTGGGGCACTGACTGGGGTGAGAGAGGATTCTTCAGGATCCGCCGGGGCTACAATGACTCTGATATTGAATCTTTCATCATTGCTGTCCGTGCACGTCTTGGTAACTACGCCACTGGTAGTGGAGTAACTGCTTATCCAAGACCACGACGCCACAATTATGACAGTCGTAACCACCTTGGGGGATATAGTGGTGAACAACATTAAGAACTTCACAAGGATGACCTTAAAACTTATGAATACTTATTTTAAAACTTGTGCTACATTATGTATTGATTAATATGGAGTTTATGATAGCTTAAGACGAATATATAATGAGAAATTTAGATACATAAATTAATTTTTGTATTGACTTGAAGTTAACTGACAGGGATAAAACTGTTGAAAAAATACATTAGCTCAGTGAATACATGGCATTAATTTGCCTTTGCCTGGTTCATAGTTTACATGTCTATTTCTAGAACATTTTCTAAACTGCCTGAATGTTCCACAGAATTCTACAGTTGTAGAATAATAACAAAATGCTGTGATTTCTGTTGTATAGGAGAGATTTATATTTTTTGAGACCTTACTAAAGCGATACTCGTGAAATTGTCCAAGAGTCAGGTGAGTTCTTAAGTGTTTTGAGGACAGTGTTGTTATTATAATCAAGGGGGAAGCGCTAAACCCATAGGATTATGCAGCACCAGTGGGGGGAGATGTGGAAGGTATTCAGGCTTAATTCAGGGAACTGGAACACAGATCCAATTCCCTGGATCAAGAGCCCCTCACCAACGTCAAGGAACCTTCCTCGAGGGGCTTGAGGACACAGGATATTGTGTTGTGTAATATTATTCTTCTCTTATTAAGTCTGCTGCACAATATATTTCGAATCTAGATTCAGGTAAATATGAGTTGGACAACTTTCTTGTCCAAAATATAAATCATGAAGGAAGAACTTTATAAGTATGAAGATTCTTGTTTAGAAAAAAAACACTAGCCAATCCAAACTGCAGTAAAATACCTGCTAAGTGTATTTTCACTGACGAGCTTTAATGTGTAGTGTACATTAAGTTTTTTACGTCTTAGAATCTAAAATACTGCCATTATTATTATTGTTATTATTATTATTATTATTACTATTATTATTATTAGTAGTAGTATTATTATTATTATTATTATTACTTTAACGCTATACCCGTAAGGGTGACGCAGCGCCACAGCTTTACATCACACAGGGAGGAATCTGTATTTTGACATTAATGAACTTCTTGGATCATCTCATGTGTTCAATAACTGGGTAATAACTTGGCCGGAATAACTTGATTCATCATGAGCGGAAATTTTTAAAGATTTTGTGTGATTTTGCAAGTAATTGCCAATAATTTTGATGAACTCTGACTCAAACATCGCAGTTGGTATTGTGATTCCTTCAAATAAATCATTATTGAGTTTTTTTCAGAAAGAAGGAAATCAATCAAATTATTTTTATTTATTACCTTCTAAGGTGAAGCGCTAGACCTACATGGGGGTACAGGAAGACATCAGTATCGATCCAAGGAAAGGAAAATGAGATCACATTCAGTAACTTGGATTATTAACTCCTCACTGACATCAAAACAACATTTGGGGGGGAAGACAAACTATAGATATTTTCAGTGGATCTTTCAGTTGACTAAGAAGGTCAGAGGTAGCTGACCCATCGTTGTTGACAACTTTCTTCGCCAGAGTTGACATGAACATGACCGGACGTGATGCTTCCACTGTGTCGCAGCCACTATAGTCTGTGTTCTACGTTCTACAACGTTCTACAACGCTCTACAACGTTCTACAACGCTCTACAACGTTCTACAACGTTCTACAACGTTCTACAACGTTCTACAACGCTCTACAACGTTCTACAACGTTCTACA